AGAATGCGATAGTTTACAGCATTTGTTGGAATATAAAAGAAAAAAATAAAAAACAGAAAAAAAAAAAAAAAAAAAAAAGCAAACAAAAAAAAAAAAAAAAAAAAATTGCCGCATGGAAATCCGCGTAGCTAGAAAATTTATAACGATAAATTCAAAATTATGGGGAAACTAAGTACATAGATCGTTCATACTATAGCATCATTATTTTTTACAGAGATATGACATGTGACAGGATTGGTTCTGCGCAAAAAATTTGACTCATAGCGAAATCGCTGAACAACTAAAAATGGCAAAATCATCTTTGCCTTTCGCATTGAAAGGCGGGTAGTGGTAGAAAAGAGGGATTTTAATCTGCAATGCAGCTAAAAAGGTGTTGAGCTATGCGAAACGAAATCCTGGACTACTGCTTACAGAAATTACACAAAGAATGGATTATGTTCCTTCAAAAGTAATGCAATACCAAAACGCAAATAATAACCAACATAATTTGGGGACGTATCTCGAAAATTACAATTTCGTTCATGCCTTACTTTACCTGCGTTGTAATGAACGACGAGTTCTACGTAATAGAGAACTTCGATGGCGCCAGTTTTACGCAACAAACAAAACGGGCAATGCTGCCAGCGTCGTTTGCCTTTAATTCAGCTTCATAAGGGTCCAGTACTCTTTTGGCCTATCTCGTAAGATGTCATTACGGGAAATGTGGCTATTAAGTGATACCAAGATAATGGAGTGGTTGTTGTTCCTAAAGAGACGAAACCTCCGAAGCTCCAGAGTTATGACCAATTAAGATTTATTGGATCATTACTAAAGCCAAACTATGAAAAACCCAAACAATTGTAAAAAATGAAAGTCAATTTAAAAACAAGTAAGGAAGGGCTAAGTTCGRGTGTCACCGAACATTTTATACTCTCACATGATAAAGTGATAATCGAGATTTCATTATCCGTCATTTACATATTTTTTTTTTTTGCTGTAAATTAATTAGATTAGATCAATTTGTGTACTTTGAGTATTGAATTGTATTTTCATTTATTTTAATTGCATTGAAAAGTTATAGTTCGATCACGACAATTTTTCCACAAGGGATACCTCAGCTCAAATTCCGTATTTGTGTAAAGTTTTATTCCACTGTCATCATTGGTTCCTAATGTATATATTATACAGAGAAGGCATCAGATGGAATTCAAAGTAGCGTTATATTGGAAGGCGTGGTTCTGAACCGAGTTCACCCATATTTCGTACATGTCATCAGGGTGTTAATAAACTATTATGTACCGAATTTCATTGAAATCGGTCCAGTACTTCCTGAGATATGGTTTTTTGTCCATAAGTGGGCGACGCCACGCCCATTTTCAATTAAAAAAAAAACCTGGATGCAGCTTCCTTCTGACATTTCTTCCGTAAAATTTAGTGTTTCTGACGTTTTATGTTAGTCGGTTAACCAATTTTGCCCATCTTCGAACTYAACCTTCTTATGGAGCCAAGAAATACGTGTACCAAGTTTCATCRTGATATCTCAATTTTTACTCAAGTTACAGCTTGCACGGACGGACGGACAGACAGACATCCGGATTTCAACTCTACTCGTCACCCTGATCACTTTGGTATATATAGCCCTATATCTGACTCTTTTAGTTTTAGGACAAACAACCGTTATGTAAACAAAACTATAATACTCTCTTTAGCAACTTTGTTGCGAGAGTATAATAAAAGGCGAATCGTAACCAAAGACATCAGTTAAGATTCTTTGCAAGTGCTTATGAAGGATCTTAAGTCAAAAGTGCGATTATTTACCTATAACAAAACAAACAAACTATCCTTTTTTAAATTTTTATAAATATAACTTTTAAAAATATTTTTGAAATTCAATAATTACGTTATGTGTGTGGCTAATTTTACCACATATCAAGCGAGAGCTGGGTGGTGAAATCATGAAAATAATAATAAATGTCAAAAAGACAAACGGTCAAACAATTTTAATATCAAATTACATCCGAAAATTTTTAAATCGTGCACATATTTTGAAAGTTGATCTCCTAACAGGGATATAGCAGATACAGATTTAAATATAAAATGCGTAAAAGTAGCTAAAGTTTTTTTCTCAAATATGTTCCACTGTAAGTATAATGAATTCGGTTCCAAGACGTTGACGGTTGCCATAACCTTGTGATCTATAAACGTTGAGCCAAACCGGATGATTTTTACATGCACAACCAGCTTCATATTGCACCAAGTGTCGAAAGAGTAATAAAATTTAAAATAATTTTCTTAACTTACCACAATTCTAATATGCACCCTCATACTTGTAAGTGTACCTCATTAAAAACATTGGACATCCAAACCACCATCCACTATAAGAAAGATTATGAATTTTGGATGCTTCCCTGGTGGCGACAATTTCCTCATCCGGCTAAACTTTTTGGTCGTTGCGTGACTTTTTTAATTACGGAATTGAAGGTCGAACGGGATCAAAACCTTCGGGTTTTTTATGTTATGTCGACTGTTTCGAATGTTAATTCGTCTTTGATACACACCAGTGGATTCATGTTTCAATAATCTCAAAACGGAGAAGAACCTCCATCGAATTCTCTTGTTGCCCGGAGTAAAGAAATCATACCTACGCCTATCATACCTACACTATAAGAATGTCTAATGCATTCCCTTGAAGTTCCTACTATCCGTACTCGCGCCCTCTGTGGACGCTGTTATCGCGACACCTAGGTATAGCTCTTCACAGTTCGCCGACAATATTGAAAGTTGTTAAATTAATGTCTGACAGTCGCCATTGAAGGACAAGAATCCCTACATTCAGCATACAGCAATATTCCATTAACGTTGAAGGTTTAAATTTTTGAAATTGTATATAAAGGTTTATCGAAAGAGGTTCAAATCGTTTTCGGGTTGCAACAATTTAGGTTTTGAACGAATGACGCTCTCATGCACCTGGGAACTTTAAAATTGATACGAAATCGCATTATTTATTGCAAACTATATTCTGTCTGTTGATTTTGTTAAAAGACGCAGATTTACGAGTTTCAGAGTGAGTAATTTTTATTTTTTATTTTGAGCATGAGTTTTACTTAATTTATTCTCTTTATAAAAGCAAATATATGTGGGAAAGGACGATTACAATTCTAAAATATTTGCTTCTTAAGCAATTATAGCGATTTGCTATTTTGACTTTCGCGCCCTTAAAAATTCGGTCTGTTGCCGTCAACAGATAGGGAAGTGCACGGGAGATAATCTCACTTGCATCGCTTGTTGTTTACGACAGTATGCAACACAACCGCAAATTGTCTTCGAACTGCTGACTGGTTTTGCTTTACTAGAGTCGAATTTATTAAAATGTGAGAGAAAAAAATGATTTAAGTAAAAAGTAAAGATTTGCGAAGCATACTCGTACCAATCTTACTTAACCCACCTGTTAAAAACCATGAAAAAATGGACCCCACATGTGTCATTTAACTTCGCAGACGTACATTGTGACAAAAAAGCTCGAGGAAATTGTAATTAAATACCCCGAAAAAGTGATATTTCAGAAAAATGTACTTTGCTAAGTTGGCAACTGTTCTTAATTACTATGCCAAATATTACGGTGCTTTTGTTTTTCACATAAAATAACATATTTTTATTAACTAGAAAACACTGAACACGTTTTTGATTGTGTGTTAGAATTACCTTTTTGCAGGTCCATCTCATCCATGTCAGAATTTTTAATTTGCTGAAGTTTTTCTCGGAATTTCTTCGTGATTTGTTTACGCTGATAGTCCGCCTCTATTTCCTGTTTGGTGCGTGGTATCCGAAATCGAATACAGCAGCAGACCATGATTACTAAATGGGACGAAAGATATTCATCTATTATATTTTTTCGAGTTCAATATAATTGCAGTATTAGAAAAATAGTAAAAGCATACTTATTATTATACATATTGGTAATATTTCAAATGAATAACGATTTGCCGCATTTTACGTCGAAAATTTGAAACCGCTCGACCTTCTCAAGCGACATCGCTTCGCTCTATGTTCTTTTAAAAAGCAATGAGGCTCAATTCTGACTCAATGGGTATGTAAATTATATTAACGAAATTGAAGCTCGTGATCGCATCAATCAACGGATATATTGAGAGAACACTTCGGTGAGCAGATAATTTCAACATTTGAAAGAGATAATCTGCAGAAAATAAATGCCAAATAGTATTCTCTCGAATGATAGTAAATATTCACCTTTAAATTTGAAGTTCTGTGTTTTTTTCTTTAAAAAAGCAGGGAACCTCGAAATGGGTCATCCTTTATATAAAAATGAAACGCTTTTTCGTTATGTGCCCGCGTAACGACGAATATGTACAGGTATTCGCTTACACCATCGATTTTGTTATATACATATGTATGTATTAAGAACCGCTGAACCAATTTGGCTGAAAATTGCTAAGAAGTTAGCTTAAAACCAAGCGACGGACATAGGCTACTTTTTACTGTTTTATGACAAACAAACAAAGTTGTATTTCCAATCATAAAATTTCATTAAAAATTTTATAAGGGTAATACAACTGAACAGCTATATAAAATATTTAAATCAGCTTATTTAATTGAATATCAGTGTGATACATAATTTTGTTGTATTCGATCCTCAAAACAAATGAATATAATAAGTTTTTAAATCACTCACACAAAACTTGAATTTTTATGAGTATTATTCTTTATAGTATACACTTGCCGGCATTGTAGTCAGCCCACTTGAATGAAATAAGTCTGAAATGTTTTCTCTTCGCCACTATTATCTGGCGGTGTCTTACTCATCAAGGAAAACAAGGTTTTTGAGACATCTTTCTTGTTACTGTCGATGTGGTTTCAAACGATATATGTAATTCCCAGAAGCAATAAAGAAGTTCCTTATCTATTATTCATTGTAAACTTATTTTATTTTAAGAGAATTCTTGATTTGTTTTTATTGTTTAAAAATGCCGGTTTAAAAACTATTATACCTGTGTATAAATTGTAACTAACCCACAAGGAATAAACACGCTTATGCACATATTTATATAGAGAAGTCTTTAACACCTACATATACTTAATGATATCCCCAGACAAATCGCAATTATATGCCAAACACGAAAGCCGCCAATAGTAACTGTTTCCAGCCACACAGGTTCGGGATCCTCTTCCACGTTCATTGCCAATATATTAAAGTAAGTGGGACAGATTTCAGTGATATTTGATGAGTTGTCTCAAAGAATTGATTATCGAGATTTCAAACACGTGAACTTAATTTCTGGTTTGAATTTTAAAACAATATATACACGATATTTTTTTGATATACTCAATGCTTTAAATACTGTTTTACGGTCTACATGTATACATTTTCAATTTATGTATGGTAAACTAAGTTTAAGATTCTTCGGAGGAAGCGCTATGTGCAAAAGCTAAAGGAATACTGAGTTTCAAATATCCTTAACGGTAAAGTTGGCCGAACTCACTAGAATGAGTACATTAATGAGTATCTTCCCATGTATGGGTGCAGTATGTTAAATACAGGGTGGTGATATTAAGTCAATTGAATTATTGGACGTATGAGTAACAGTAAAAAATTGGCACTATAACCGTATTCACATCGTCATTTATGTTGTTCGCCATGTGAGAGCAAGAACAAAGTCGTATTATATCTTAGTATTTAATTATATACAAGCACTCACGATTATTAAAGTGATATACCCCCTTAATTTCTTCTAACTTTCAACTCTCATCAGCTGTTGCTTCGATTCGCCATTTTCCAAAATTCGATGAATTGAAGGTTTTCAAAGTAATTCCAAGCAATATTCGTCCAAGTGACATGTCATGTCACCCTATATACACCCACTGCTTTCAGCTCATAAAGCAGGTAGCATAGTGCGTTGATATTGATATGATATAGCGGTAGATCTACGTATGTACATCCATATGTATGTATGCATGTAAAGCACTTTATTATGTGTTCGTACACTCATAAGTTAGGATGGTGAATGCTAAGTTGTGGTAAACTAGAAAAAGGCCAGCAAGTGACACCAGAATTTGTGAACTGGGAGTGCCACAGCAAGCGAATTTATTTTCACCGCCATTCTTGAGCTTTCACTTTCCCTTGTTGTTGTCTTCACAACAATTTTTTCATTTAATACGACACGGTGGCGCTGACTTTGCATACCTTATGTAGGCGGTCTGATGATGACCTGAAGCGTGTGCAAGTAGGCGAGGCTGCCGGCACGTTGTTGATATGTGTCTCAGCGACCGTTCAATCCCCGTCACCGCTATTGTTCTCCGTACATAAACGCTCTGTGAATGGCGCGATAAATGTCGGTACACAGTAAAAGGACATTAGCTAATGATGAGTTAAAATTATAGCACCAGCCGAAACTTTTTTAAAATATCATTTACTTATTAAATAACTTTTAAGAAAACTCTTGAAAATGTTTCCGAAGTCAATCTAACCGATAATAGCTATTACTATCTGTCCTTAATCATGGCTTTTGTACATAAGTATACTCTAAGGGTATTTCAATATTTTTATAGCCTAGTTCTAAATTAATTCATTTGTATTTACATAAAATGTGTAAATAATTTTCAAAACGAGAAAATAATCCGCCAGTCTTTGTCGAAATTGGACCGGAAATCTGTTTTTAGCCTGCGAAGTATGGAGAACGAGCTTTCGAGGTGCCGAGGGTTAGAGCTTTGAACAAAACATTAGAAAATTAGGAACTATTACTTCTACTTCATTTGTAGAACATAAAAAACATTGAGCTAGTCTATTTTCAATATATTATATACAAGGTATATTCCAAAGTAAACCGGACTTAAAAAAAAAACAGATCAAATGGGTTTTTCGGAAAAATCAATTTATTTTATTCAAAATAGTCTCCTTCTGCTTCAATACAGCTTTTTGCAGGCCCAAAAGCACGTCGCACGAGTGTTTTAGCTCGTTGGCCGGTATGGCCGCCATTATGCCGGTGCAAGCCCTTTGAATGGCTTTCCTGGGTCATGGGCCAATGCATTTTTCCGAAAAGGAATAAGTCGCACGGTGCACGGGAGTTGTTATGGTTAAAATGTGATTTTTGCTCAAATAAATCTCTTTAATGATGTCCTTTGAATGTTGGATTCGGAACAATTTTTGGTTATCAGTCAATTTGTGCGGAACAAACCGTGCACACACATTTCGTAAGCTCAGATATTGAGTCAAAATGCGATAAATCGATCGGCTGAGTTCGCGCACAGTTTCGATGGAGTTTCCGGTGATCACACATGTTGATCGTCATTTATGTCCTCACATTTAAACCACTCGTGCACTCTGCTACGGGATAGTCAATCAGCTCCATAAACTTCTTTCATCAATTGAAACCTTTCGGTAAAAGTTTTACCAATTTTAAAACAAAATTTAATGTTGGCACTTTGTTCGAATCTCATTTTCGCACCAATAACACAAACATACGACACTTAAAACGCAATAACTTCACTTCCAATCTATGAAATTCTCATTGGACAAACGATAAAGATAGCAGATTCTAACGTACTAGTCGACATATAGATGGCGCAACCAGGGGGCGCTAGATTTAAAAAGTCCTGTTTACTTGGTAATACACCTTGTATATTTTTAATATTTTTTTAAATTTTTCGGCTGAAAAACAAACTTTAATTCGATTAAAGTTTAACTTCGGTTGCATTGACTCAACGTTCTACCGTGAAACATATTAACATATTTTATACATACTGTCATATTTGGAGAACAAGAATCGATTCGCTATCCATACACCACCAATGTATAACCCATCATTAGATCATAGTTTCTAAACTAAACAAAGTAGTCGATAGAGTAATAACGAGGGACGCCACCTTATTATGTCTGCCCGAAAATACGTGAAAAACGATGTAGAGGAAACAGATGATGCGTAATGGCGATTCAAATTAATTAGTTTTTGCAAAAACAAGAACATTCTGAATCTCTGATGCAAAAGGCTAGGACAGATTTGATTACTTATACGTCTTTTGGTAGGCTGCTTTGTAAAGCAAAGCTTACGTCGGATCATTGGTGAGCTTAAGACTGAAATCTTTGCTATGCGGCTCGATATGCTCAAATAAGTAACGGAGTCATTTGCCGTGGTTAGTGGAGGCGGTCAAAGCGAAATAAAAACAATTATTTTATATTCGCAGAAACCTGTTTGAAGATGCGCGAGATAGCTTGAAGCAGATGCAGTGAAATATTCTCATTCATCATGAGAAAACTGGAACCACTAGTAAACAGCAGAGGCAAAGTAACTGTGGACTTCACGAAGAAGGTGAAGGCTTTGCTAACGGTCGGAGAGGAAACGGTCACTGGGCTCTAATATCCCGATTTAATGAGCCAAATTGCAGAAAAACGGCGCTTCCCTCATGATAACGCACCGCATGGGCCCTTCAAATTTCACCGAAGTAGGGACGAATTGGTGTCTCATCCACCGTATTCATTCCAATTGGAATGAGTAGTTTATCCTCGGCACATACGTTTTCTTGACAGACTTCCATAAAATATATTTTACAGACGCCATTTTGCAAAATTTTCAATTTATTCTCTATATATTATATAATTTTTAGTTAAAATATCGGTGCATTTGGATATAACAAAATCACTGTTCCTAATCATATTTTCAAATTTATTTGCATTTGCGCTTTAAAAATTTCTTACTCCATTTGAATTACTCCAGTCACACATGCATGCACAGATATTTGTGAAGAATATGTCGTAACGTGATACACTGTGCAGTGGCAGGTCATTACTTGCACCACTGCTGACAATGGGGCACTCCTTGCTGATGGTATTAATTTGTTTTGTTTTGCTCGGACGGATATGTTGAATCAAAAACGTGCGATTACGTAGAATCCTTTATATGCAACTATACACATACATACATACTAAACTAWACATGTATACGAACATTTTGTTAAGTAAAAATTGTGGAAATAGTTGGCATAACTTTAAGATAGCAAAAGCAAAAAAGGTGATTATGGGAAAGGGCCAGCGCATAGCGTCGTCTTTATGGCGTGATGAACACTTGCTATAGCTTGTCTACACAGTTATTGTTGTTGTCGCTCAACTATTGGCGTGCAGCTCACCGGTTGCGTCTGCTATTCACGTTTGCTTGACCACTGCTAACGATGACCCTTTTGTGGGTTTACGCTAAAGTATATACATATGTACATATGTAAGTATTTTTGCAGTTGTCTGACTACAAACTCATTTCTGCTTCTGCTCTAATCCATGACTAATTATTCCGTTATAATTGACTTAAATCTTTCAATACACAGGAGATATATGACTCTTGACCAGATTTTTATATTCTCGCAACATGCTTCACAGATTTATTACATTTGTTTGTCTAAGGCTCGTTTGTAACATCTAAAACTATTCGAGATACGAAAAGAGTTATGTATACATGTACCTATGTATATCAAAGTGATATAAATTAAATAATTAATGAAACTTGGTACACGTGTCTGTTGTCGCTCTGAAAAGGTTCGGAATTCGGAGCCCACAAAATGCCATTAATTAAAAAAATATTAAAGGTGATATTTAACACTACGAAATTTAGCTATTACGGTAGTGATTAGCAACTGTGGTCCAAATTTTGAAAAAGTGTGCATGGGTTCACTCTGTAATAGTAGCTTTAGTGTACATACGTATGTATATATCTTGCAACCTACTAAAGCTATATTAACTGAACTTTCTAGGAAATTCTTATTTTTTCATAATGTATTTTTTCATATCCCATCTGATTCTTTCTTCTAAAAATACTAGTAAAAAGGGTTCTATAAGTTTTCAACTTCACAGTAAAATTTATAAGCTACCATTATCGAAATTCAGAGAAAATCTTCTCCTGATAATCATGTGCTCTGGTGTTTCGAATGTATAAAATTAGTTCAGTACATTCCTGGGGGATGTAAGGATTTTTATACTCCATATTTATTTTATACCGTATATAGGGGAAACGGTCCATGAATTACATCATTTCCCCATATATTACTCTACTTTGCAATATTTTTGTTATTCCAGGTGATGGAAGTATGCTCACTTCCGCAATTCAATGCCACAAGTAAATCAGTCCAGACCTATCCCTACCCCAATCATACCCTCTATACTGATTATCGAATGCCGTTCTGAGCACGTCCCAACTTTCCGCCAATGAATACATTCCAAGTTTCTTAAGATACCTTAATTTTTACTCAAGTTATCTCTTGCATACAAAAACTCGTCTCG